GCCGCTGGGGAGCGGGCAACCAGCGCTGCGGAGAAGTTGGGGGCCGTGCAGCAGGTCTGGGGGTCCCCACCGGGGCTGGGAGGGATGGAGGATGCTGTTACCTGGGCAAGGGGGCCCATCCCTGGGCTTGCTGGGGTTTGTCCCTCCTCACGGTGCTGGGTTGACCTCGTGTTTGCACGCACTGGGGTGCAAGGGACCTGGGTTCTTAGGGACTGTGAGATGGGGGCCCTTGACTCCCCCCCCATATCCTACTGGGATGCAGGAGGCCCGGATGAGCCGAGCGGCGGAGGTGATGGTCCAGCACGTGGAGAACCTGAAGCGGCACCACATGCGGGAGCACGCGGAGCTGGAGGAGATGAAGCGCCTGATCCAGCAAAACTCCCGCAACCGGCAGCTGGCGGAGACCCAGGGTGAGGTGGGCCCTGCCACTGCCCCCTACGTGGGGTTTGCATGGGGTGACCCTGAGGGATTTGATCCCAAAACCTTTCAGGGGAAGGGTGACAGCTGGGACCCGATGACAAATGTGAGGGGTTGGCGTAACAGGAGCAGGTGCTGGGGGAGCCACCGTCCCATGGCCCAGCTGGGAATGTGGGGCAGGGGGACACACAAAGGATGCTCTGTCCCTTGACACCAAACCCCACACATGCCATTGCTTGCAAGGTTTCCCCCGTGAGACACCCTGTGACTTTTTTTGGGGTGATGAAAGGCTGCTTCTCTTTGCTCCCAGATGACACGGAGCCACGGCTGAGGTCTCACCCCCTGGTGCGAACTTTCCAGCAGGTAACTGGTCCCAGTTCAGTGTCCCTGGAGCCACTGCCTCTCCATGCAATGCCACTGTCCCTTGCTCTGTGGTCCCCACGCTTATCCATGTGCAATGCCTCTCCTGCTGCTTGCTGCAGGCCAGGGCTGCAAGAAATACTGGGGACAAGGCGAAATGTAGGGATGGCGTTGAAGGGCTGTGGAGGCACAGGGTGCCTGGGTTTGGGGACACAGGGTACCCAGGGCTGGGTGCTGCTTGTCCAGGAGATCTCAGGCAGGGCCCTCTGCATTGCAGGGTCATAGCGTGAGAGCTGCAGGCTTGGCCGTTCTCTAGCACCAGAATTTGGCACTGGTTCCCCTACAGCTCAAGAGGTAGGGGAGCGCTCGGGGGTGTCAGGCAGCGCCACCAGCATGGCTTGAAGCAGCAAGGACAGGCACAAACCCCTTGGCTTTGACCTTCCCTCATCTTGCCAGCTTACCACCATAGTGCCAGGGCCAGTGGGAGGTGGCAGTGTCCCTTCTCAGTGTCCCTTGCCCTGGGGAGGCGATGGGATGGGGAGCACTGTGGGGTGGCCGGTGTGGCGCTCACCCCCAGCCCCTCCATTGCAGGGGTCTGCACGCCGCAGGGTCAGCATCGCCGTCATCCCCAAGCAGCTCTTGGTAAGGACACGCACAGGGGGGTACAGACAGGAGCCTGGGTCCCCGCTGATGTCCCCACCTTCGGTGCCCAGCCAGGTGCCACCCTGGACAGCCGAGCAGCCCCATCTGCAGAGCCGGAGGGTGCCCAGCGCCGGCCCAGCACCCAGAGGTAACCACACCGGGTAC